CACACTGTCACTTTGGTTTCTGCAGGAGACTACAAGTGGCTGTTTCAACTTCAACACACATTACACAGGAATGGTCCTCTTTTGTCCCTGGTGATACTGCCATTAAGGCCCTTATTTGGGCATTTCCTGTTATAGGGTGACAACGCTTTGTACCTGTCACCCAATTGTGCTCTTGCGTTGTCACCCTGTCACATGGACTTCTGATGGAGACTACATGTGCCAATTTCAGCATACATTAAACAGGGATGTTGCTCTGTTGTCTCTGATAATGCTGCCATGATGGCCCTTATGTAGTCACTTCCTGTTAAAGGGTGACAACGCTCTGTCCCTGTCTCCCCAATCTGCTATTGCATTGTCACATAGGTTTCTGTTGGAGATTACGAGCGGCTGTTTCAACTTCAACACACATCACACAGGAATGGTCCGCATTTCCCTGGTGATCCTGCCATTAAGCCCCTTATTTGGGCATTTCCTGTTATAGGGTGACAACGCACTGTCCCTTTCTCCCAATTGTGCTCCTGTGTTGTCACCCTGTCACATGGGCTTCCAGTGGCCATTTCAACATTACACAGACATGGTCCACTGTTCTACGTAAGCAAAGGGGCAGCGATAACAGTGGCCGCGGCCATATGTGGTCAGTGATGTCACCAACATCCCCGCCCCATGCCTTGTATAGCTGATAACAGCTCAGGGATGAGCCGCGTGCGCCGGGCCGGCCATTGGCTTTTGCAGTCAGAACTGTTGCCTCCAAAGCCCCCCCCCAAAATACATTGCAGACCATTGGATGGGTCTGTTGCTGCTTTTGTTTCATTTTTATTTTTTTCTGTAAATGAAATGTCATTTATAGGCGATTTTAGGACTCAATTACACTCGCTCCAAAATGTACCCCCATGTCCCTGTCTTGGTGCTTCAAAGCATCTCCAAAGCCTCCATAGAGGTCTATGACAACGCTCGCTAACAGCGCCTGCAGCATTTGAGGGGCTTTTATTCAGCTTTAGCTTTGCTTTGTTTTGGAGGTATTGCAGGTATGGGATATCCCAGGATGCACTGGGAAACCAACAAGGAAACCAGAAAGACGTCATCAGCAGTCACTTCCTGTTCCTGTGTGTATAATCTGGGGGTGTCTGGTGCAGACATCCCATCTGGGGTGCAGCAGGAAGGTGAGCGGGGTCAGGACCGGAGCAACTAGCAGACAGCACACATGGTCTGCAACATGGGAACACTATAGTGGAAAGTGAGGGGGTACAGGAGAGAGAGGATCAGCAGAGCTGGGGGACCAGAGCAGGAGAAACTAGCAATGTCACATGTGGTGCGCAGCATGGGAGCTATATAGAGGGAGGTGGGCGGGGACCAGAGAGAGAGGAGGATCAGCAAACCAGAGGATCAGCAGAGCTTGGGGTTACCACTGAGCGGGGGATCAGCAGAGCTGGGGGTTACTACTGAGTGGGGATCAGCAGAGCTGGGGGTTACTACTGAGTGGGGATCAGCAGAGCTGGGGGTTACTACTGAGGGGGGGGATCAGTAAAGCTGAGGGTTACTACTGAGTGGGGATCAGCAGAGCTAGGGGTACTACTGAGTGGGGATCAGCAGAGCTGGGGGTTACTGCTGAGCGGGGGATCAGCAGAGCTGGGGGTTACTACTGAGCGGGGGATCAGCAGAGCTGGGGTTACTACTGAGTGGGGATCAGCAGAGCTGGGGGTTACTACTGAGTGGGGGATCAGTAAAGCTGGGGGTTACTACTGAGTGGGGATCAGCAGAGCTGGGGGTACTACTGAGTGGGGATCAGCAGAGCTGGGGGTTACTGCTGAGCGGGGGATCAACAGAGCTGGGGGTACTACTGAGTGTTGTACTAATATACAACAATAAAATTTATATTTATTAAAATGTATCTTAATATTATTATTATTATTATTATTATACAGGATTTATGGCGCCAACAGTTTGCTCAGCGCTTTACAATATAACGGGAGACAATACAGCAACAATACAGTTCAATACAAGAGGGATTTAAAAATGTATCTTAATATGAATAACATTTATTAGCGTGAATAACAATAATAATAATAATAATATTTAATAAAGTGTATAATAAACAACAATAAAATGAATATTTATTAAAATGTATCTTAATATGAATAACATTTAATAAAGTGTCTTTACAAATCTACATTTTTGGAACGCATTTACAAATTTATGCAAAAATATATGATAAAATGACTATTTTTATATGTTAAAAAAAAATCTGAAGAATATATTTAAAAAAATATATCTTTTTAAAAATTCCAGAAATGTAGATTTGTATTTTTAAAAACATGCAGTATATGTGAAATATATTTAAAAAATATCCTTCCCAAATATATTGCCGTATATTTGAAATGCTACAATTTTGGCCGCATTCAATATATTTCAATAAATATATATATATAGATAGATAGACATGCAGTATATTTGAAATGTATTTTTTAAAAATATTTTTTATATATTTTGTTTTTTGAAATATATTGAATAGGGCCCAAATTGTAGCGTTTAAAATACACGGCAATATATTTGGGAAGAATATTTTTTAAATATATTTCAAATCTATTTTTCTCCCAGGTGGGCAGTTCCCTGCGCTCAGCCAAGACATGAATGACGGCTGCAACTTGGATATCCCGAATACTGGACACAATTGATAAATGTAACCCGGCCCTTTAAATCCTAACTAGACCAATCATTGAACACGGAGCCATCGCCTGTGAAATAATTGCTAACACAATTCATATATAATAAATGAAACCAATAAAAAGGAAACGTTCGTATCGTAGATCGTCCAGAGAAGTGACCGAAGCGCTGCGAGCTGCCAAGCTCCTTCACAAGAAAGAATAAAGGGGCCTCTGAACCAAATGAAGGCGATCCCGAATTACAGAGATCAAAAGCGCTTGAACCGGAGCTCCAGGCTGGCACTCCCACGATCAAACGTGCAGCTGATTGAATGACCTCATCGATGGAGCGTATGGACGAACCCAATGGAAGCCTTCATCTCATATGTCGCTCACGGCAATCACATGGGTAAAGCATAACGAGGGAGCAGCCTCACCGTGCCGAATAATCAACCTTCCAATTATTTATAAAAGTATTGCACAGGTAGGGAAATACGAGCAATGTATCCTACAAAAAACACCAGGCCAGTACGTGATGACGTCACACTCAAACTCCGCCGTGTTTCCCCAAAATGGTGTCCCCTGGGATGGGAGATTGGATCCCCAAAAATGGGGTTCTCTGGGATTGGAGATTGGATCTCCAAAATGACGTCCTCTGGGATTGGAGATTGGATCCCCAAAAATGGTGTTCTTTGGGATTGGAGATTGGATTCCCCAAAATGGCATCCTCTGGGATTGGAGATTGGAGCCCCAAAAATGGCATCCTCTGGGATTGGAGATTGGATCCCCAAAATGATGTCCTCTGGGATTGGAGATTGGATCCCCAAAATGGTGTCCTCTGGGATTGGATCCACAAAAATGGTGTTTCTCTGGGATTGGAGATTAGATTCCCCCAAAAATGGCGTAATCTGGGATTGGAGATTAGATCCCCAAAATGGCGTCCTCTGGGATTGGAGATTGGATTCCCCAAAAATGGTGTCCTCTGGGATTTGAGATTGGATCCCCAAAATTGTGTTCTCTGGGATTGGAGATTGGATCCCCAAATATGGTGTTCTCTGGAATTGGAGATTGGATCCCCAAATATGATGTTCTTTGGAATTGGAGATTGGATCCCCAAAATGGTGTCCTCTGGGATTTGAGATTGGATCCCCAAAAATGGTGTCCTCTGGGATTTGAGATTGACCTTTGGGATTGGAGGTTAGATTCCCCCAAAATGGTGTCCTCTGGAATTGGAGATTGGATCCCCAAAATGGTGTCCTCTGGGATTTGAGTTTGGATCCCCAAAAATGGTGTCCTCTGGGATTTGAGATTGACCTTTGGGATTGGAGGTTAGATTCCCCCAAAATGGTGTCCTCTGGGATTGGAGATTGGATCCCCCAAAATGGCGTCCTCTGGGATTTGAGATTGGATCCCCAAAAGTGGTGTCCTCTGGGATTTGAGATTGACCTCTGGGATTGGAGGTTAGATTCCCCCAAAATGGTGTACTCTGGGATTGGAGATTGGATCCCCAAAATGGCGTCCTCTGGGATTTGAGATTGGATCCCCCAAAATGGCGTCCTCTGGGATTGGAGATTGGATCACCAAAAATTGTATTCCCTGGGATTGGAGATTGATTCCCCCAAAATTACGTCCTCTGGGATTGGAGATTGGATCCCCAAAAATTGTGTTCTCTAGGATTGTTGATTGGATCCCCAAAAATTGTGTTCTCTGGGATCGGAGATTGGATCCCCAAAAATGGCGTTCTCTGGGACTGGAGATTGATTGGATCCCCAAAATGGCGTTCTCTGGGATTGGAGATTGGATCCCCAAAAATTGTGTTCTCTGGGATCGGAGATTGGAAAGCTAATGGCCACTATTCAGTCCTCCTACTCCTCGTCCACCCCCTCCTCCTTAATAAACTGCACTCCCTCGGCCTCAGAGATTCTGCTCTCTCCTGGTTCTTCTCCTATCTATCCCAACGCTCCTTCAGTGTTACCTATATGGCTGCCACCTCCCCCTCACTCCCCCTCTCTGTCGGGGTCCCTCAAGGCTCTGTCCTCGGGCCCCTTCTCTTCTCCATCTACACCTCCTCCTTTGGCCAACTCATACACTCTCACGGCTTCAACTACCACCTCTATGCCGATGCGACACTCAAATTTACCTCTCCACCCCCCACCTCACCCCCTCAGTCTCCGCCCGAATCACACACCTACTGAGCGACATATCAGACTGGATGTCGCTCCATTTCCTTAAACTGAACCTCTCCAAAACCGAGCTCCTGATTTTCCCCCCAGCCCGCGCCCCCCCCCCCCCCATCCTCTCCATTACGACCAACAATGCCACCATCAGTCCCACCCCGCAAGCCAAAGTCCTAGGTGTCACTCTAGACCCCAATCTGTCTTTCCAACCCAATGTCCAATCGTTGGCAACTTCATGAAGGCTCCACCTCCGCAACATCTCCAAAATACGTTCGTTCCTCACCCCAGACACTACTAAACAACTCGTTCACTCCTTTATTATCTCACGTCTGGACTACTGCAACTCCCTCCTCGCCGGCCTAACCCAACACAGGCTATCCCCGCTTCAGTCTATCCTGAACTCAGCGGCCAGACTCATCCACCTCACCAACCGCACCGTATCCGCCACCACCCCATCTGTCATTCCCTCCACTGACCTCCACTCAGTGTCCTCCACCCCCCTCTGTCATCCCTCCACTGGCCTCCACTCAGTGTCCTCCACCCCCCTCTGTCATCCCTCCACTGGCCTCCACTCAGTGTCCTCCACCCCCCTCTGTCATTCCCTTCACTGGCCTCCACTCAGTGTCCTCCACCCCCCTCTGTCATTCCCTCCACTGGCCTCCACTCAGTGTCCTCCACCCCCCTCTGTCATTCCCTTCACTGGCCTCCACTCAGTGTCCTCCACCCCCTCTGTCATTCCCTTCACTGGCCTCCACTCAGTGTCCTCCACCCCCCTCTGCCAATCCCTCCACTGGCCTCCACTCAGTGTCCTCCACCCCCCTCTGCCAATCCCTCCACTGGCCTCCACTCAGTGTCTTCCACCCCCCCTCTGCCAATCCCTCCACTGGCCTCCACTCAGTGTCCTCCACCCCCCTCTGTCAATCCCTCCACTGGCTCCCGATTGCCCAATGCATTAAATTCAAACTACTAACACAGACATACAAAGCCATTCATAACGCCGCCCCTAACTACCTCCCCTACCTGATACCCAAATACCACCCAACCCGTAATCTTCGCTCCTCACAAGACCTCCTACTTTCTAGTTCCCTGGTCTCCTCCTCCCATGCCCGCCTTCAGGACTTCTCCAGGACTTCCCCAATCCTCTGGAACTCACTACCCCAATCCATCAGACTGTCACCTACTCTCCTCACCTTTAGGCGCACCCTGAAAACCCACCTCTTCAAGGAAGCCTACCCCGCCCTCACCTAACAGCCGATCTCCTCCACTCCTCCTACCACTCCATCCCCCACAGCTACTTCCCCCTGTGCCACCTTCCCCTCCCTCCTAGATTGTAAGCTCCAAGGATCATGGCCCTCGAACCCCTCGTGTATTGTACTGTATTGTCTCATGTTCTGTCCCCCACTATAATGTACAGCGCTGAGCAAACCTTTTGGTGCTTTATAAATACTGTATAATAATAATAATAATCCCCAAAAATTGTGTTCTCTGGGATCGGAGATTGGATCCCCAAAATGGCATTCTTTTTTCTTGGTAAAAAAAAAAACACAACCATGGAAGAAAATGGGAAAACGCAGCAGAACTCTAAAAAATGCTAAAAAAAAGTTAAAAAACTCGGGTTTTTAACATGACTTGCCTTGAGGTTTCTTCAGGGGTGCCCGGGCGCCCTGGCGTGCCTTGAGGTTTCTTCAGGGGTGCCCGGGCGCCCTGGCGTGCCTTGAGGTTTCTTCAGGGGTGCCCGGGCGCCCTGGCGTGCCTTGAGGTTTCTTCATGGGTGCCCGGGCGCCCTGGCGTGCCTTGAGGTTTCTTCAGGGGTGCCCGGGCGCCCTGGCGTGCCTTGAGGTTTCTTCAGGGGTGCCCGGGCGCCCTGGCGTGCCTTGAGGTTTCTTCAGGGGTGCCCGGGCGCCCTGGCGTGCCTTGAGGTTTCTTCAGGGGTGCCCGGGCGCCCTGGCGTGCCTTGAGGTTTCTTCAGGGGTGCCCGGGCGCCCTGGCGTGCCTTGAGGTTTCTTCAGGGGTGCCCGGGCGCCCTGGCGTGCTTTGAGGTTTCTTCAGGGGTGCCCGGGCGCCCTGGCGTGCTTTGAGGTTTCTTCAGAGGTGCCCGGGCGCCCTGGCGTACCTTGAGGTTTCTTCAGGGGTGCCCGGGCGCCCTGGCGTGCCTTGAGGTTTCTTCAGGGGTGCCCGGGCCCCCTGGCGTGCCTTGAGGTTTCTTCAGAGGTGCCCGGGCGCCCTGGCGTGCCTTGAGGTTTCTTCAGGGGTGGCTTGGCAAAATGTCTAAAAATTGCCCAAAACTTGCATACAAGCCGGCGGGTGGAACAAGCCAGCCTTTTAGGTGCACAAAGCCACCGGTTCCCATTGTGCACCATTACGACCTTCTAGCCGCCGGAGTCCTGACAACCAATGGCGTCAAAAAATTGATAAGGAGGATACCAGTTGCTTGCGCAGCATCCTAGTTTGACCCTCTCCTGCCCCTCTCCATCAGTGCTGGGGTTCCTAGTTTGACCCTCTCCTGCCCCTCTCCATCAGTGCTGGGGTTCCTAGTTTGACCCTCTCCATCAGTGCTGGGGTTCCTAGTTTGACCCTCTCCTGCCCCTCTCCATCAGAGCTGGGGTTCCTAGTTTGACCCTCTCCATCAGTGCTGGAGTTCCTAGTTTGACCCTCCCCTGCCCCTCTCCATCAGTGCTGGGGTTCCTAGTTTGACCCTCTCCTGCCCCTCTCCATCAGAGCTGGGGTTCCTAGTTTGACCCTCTCCATCAGTGCTGGGGTTCCTAGTTTGACCCTCCCCTACCCCTCTCCATCAGTGCTGGGGTCACATCATCTCAGTGATGGATAAAAACTGAGGGAGAGGAGAAACCCTGGAATACTAGTCAGTACCAGTGTTCAAAAGTGTATTTGCTTTGGAAGACTTTGCCTCTAATGTTGGGTCTCTTACGTGTGTGGATGTTGCTGCGATATATAAAACTATCAGAATCATTTTCACATTTTAGAATGCGGTGCCTCAAGACTGTCCATAATTTTAAAGGATTCCCCTGGACTGTCTATCATTTTAAAGGGTTCCCCTGGACTGTCCATCATTTTAAAGGGTTCCCCTGGACTGTCCATCATTTTAAAGGGTTCCCCTGGACTGTCCATCATTTTAAAGGGTTCCCCTGGACTGTCCATCATTTTAAAGGGTTCCCCTGCACTGTCCATCATTTTAAAGGGTTCCCCTGGACTGTCAATCATTTTAAAGGGTTCCCCTGGACTGTCCATAATTTTAAAGGATTCCCCTGGACTGTCTATCATTTTAAAGGGTTCCCCTGGACTGTCCATCATTTTAAAGGGTTCCCCTGGACTGTCAATCATTTTAAAGGGTTCCCCTGGACTGTCCATCATTTTAAAGGGTTCCCCTGGACTGTCCATCATTTTAAAGGGTTCCCCTGGACTGTCTATCATTTTAAAGGGTTCCCCTGGACTGTCTATCATTTTAAAGGGTTCCCCTGGACTGTCCATCATTTTAAAGGGTTCCCCTGGACTGTCCATCATTTTAAAGGGTTCCCCTAGACTGTCCATCATTTTAAAGGGTGCCTTGACTGAAGGTTGAGAGGCACTGCCTCCGCAATACCTCCCATTTTTATACACCATAGAACAGCTTTTGGTATATTTTTACGTGTTTTATATCTCCTACTAAAATGTTCGATGCACCAACCCCAAAGAAGTGGCTGCTGTAGCCCCCCGAAATGCGTTGGTGGCGTTCTCTGTGTGTTTTTATGACCAATAAATGGGCAGCACAGCGGCTAAATGGTTGGCACTTCCGCCTGGCAGTACTAGGGTTAGAATCCCAACCACGGCACCGCCTGACTGGAGTTTGCATGTTCTCCCTGTGCCTGCGTGGGTTTCCTCCGGGTACTCCGGTTTCTTCTCCAAAGACATGCTGGTAGGTGAATTGGCTCCTGTCTAAATTGTCCCTAGTATGTGTATGTATGAATGTGAGTTAGGGACCTTAGATTGTACACTCCTCGGGGGCGGGGACTGATGTGAATGTACAATATACATGTAAAGAGCTGCGTAGATTGACGGCGCTATAGAAGTACCTGAAATAAAAATAAATATTTACTTTTTGAAGGCATGGTTCTCAAGGACCGTTTTTGTTCCCACCATTGACTTCATCTCCAGTTTTTGGGTCAAAAAACAACCTTTTAATGAAATCAACAGTCATTAATAATTCAATCAGGCTTGTTCTTCTCCCTCCCCATTGGTGGCTCCTCCTGGTGTCCCCAGGCACCCTCCCCTCCCAGTATTTCCATTCCCACTTCTTGGCATTATCTACAAATGTGAGGATAATGCCCCTAATAGAGGATCTCCCCCTCCTCTCCATCCATGGGGTCCTCCCTGTGTCAGTATGAGACCCCAGCTCTTCAGGTAGGTCATGGAGATCCATGGAGATAAGAAGCCCCCTACCTCTGAGAACTGCCCCCATGTACACAGGAAGGGGTGGGGGAGGGGATACCTGGCCTGGGGGGGGATTCATGGCAGACAGACAGTAGCAGGTCCTGTGGTGTCTTTGATGTCGGGACACATTTGATGGGGAGAGAAGGAGGAAGTCTCCTGACTTTATGACCCTGGCCACAGAGGACAACTGTCCATTGAGGGTCCCCTATGTGTCTCCCCCACTTCTCACCATGGACAGAGGGGCTTCGGGTTCCTTCTAGTTAGAAATCAAATCGGGGTCTCTGTCTTGGATGGTGGAAACCCTCATTGTCATCCTCGAGGGCCCATTGTCGCCCTTGAGGGCCCATAAACGATACGATGCAAACGCATGAATGCCTTCTCTAATGTGGGTCCTGATGGGGCCACTGATGGTCCTCAAAGGATAAAAAAACCACGCATGGTCCTTTGGCGACGTGTCTGTTGTGAAGCATCATGCATGAACTCGGGTCATTGGGATGCCGTGCACAATAAATAGCAGCGCAATGCACAGCACATGGAGCGAGTGCACGGGCCCCGAGGGTAGCCCTAGGAAGCCAGCTCCTTGCCCCAGTGTTACATTAGGTTGATGGATGGGAATATATTCATGTGACCGCTGGCATCTGAGGCAGGTGCATAGGGCGCTCTATATTCAGCACTGCTCTGTTATATTGGGGTCCAAGGGCTGCATCTCCCACCTGTCACAGGGTGCAGCAAATCCCACATCTCTGACCTTCCTGAACTCCGTCAGGTGATGAGAGAAAAGAAACGATGTACTGTGTTAGCTGTCCCCACGCAGTGCATGGAGTAACCAGGGGCCACATTATTATTACATGTATATCGCTCTGACATATACCGCAGCGCTGTACAGAGATCACTGAGCCAGTCACATCAGTCTGTGTACCAGAGGAGCTTACGCTCTAATGTCCCCTCCCCCACAGTCACATCAGTCTGTGTACCAGAGGAGCTTACGCTCTAATGTCCCCTCCCCCACAGTCACATCAGTCTGTGTACCAAAGGAGCTTACGCTCTAATGTCCCCTCCCCCACAGTCACATCAGTCTGTGTACCAGAGGAGCTTACGCTCTAATGTCCCCTCCCCCACAGTCACATCAGTCTCTGTACCAGAGGAGCTTACGCTCTAATGTCCCCTCCCCCACAGTCACATCAGTCTCTGTACCAGAGGAGCTTACGCTCTAATGTCCCCTCCCCCACAGTCACATCAGTCTGTGTACCAGAGGAGCTTACGCTCT